GGAGATCTGGGAGCCTGCGATGGTGAGTGGAGCAGAACCGCATCCCACCTTGGCGCGGGGCTCGGCAGGGTATGTACCCCGGCGGCAAACGACGGGCTACGGGATGCCTTGGGAGAGAGGTCGCGATTTTAACCCTCAGAAGGCTTTTTAGGGGGGTTTGTTTGCTTGTTTGTTTGATTTAAAATGTTTGCTTGTTTGTTTTCTTTACCGGGACGAGCTGCTTCCGAGCGCGGCGGGTGTGGCAGCGATGTCCACGGTGTGTGGCGACCGTCGGGAGCTGCGAGGCCGGGCTTCCCGGGGCATCGCTCACCCCTGCGCGCCGGCATCCCGGCCGCTGCCACGGAACCCGCTTGGTGCAGAGATTTTACAGCCGACTCGGAGGGGTGCTCCGGAGTTACGCTCTGGATGTGGGGGAGGCGAGAGAGACGGGAGGTTGCGGGGTTTCCCCGGTTTGGCGGTGGCGGAGGAAACCGCGGCCGCGAAGGGGAGCAAGGGGCTGCAGGATGCTCCCCTCGGCAGCGGCGGGACCTCGGGACGTCCCCCAGCCCCCCGGGCTGCCGGCGGCTGCCGTCGCCTGCAAGAGCCGAGGGTGCTTCGTGAGCTGGAGCCACGTCCCGCCGCCTCCTTGCGTGTAGCTCCGCCCGGGCGGTCGCGGGTGTCAGCTAATCCCGAGGTTTCAAGAAAAGGATCCCTCCGGCCGCGGGGATGTTTCGGGCACGCACGGCCGGCGGTGCGCGGGGATCGGCTGGCTCCGGGACGCGCACGGTCTCTCGTGGGTCAGGCTCGGCTCCTCCGGCATTGCACCTGCTGCACACCGCTTTCCTTTTCACCCCTCTGCTGTCCTAGTTTTTCCTTCTCCCCTGACCCTTTCAGAAATTAATTCCTTCCTCCCCCAGCATAACGAAAAGGGGATGGGTACAGAGAACGGCGCCCCGGGCCCGAGGCGGGGGCAGTGCCGGGCCCGGGACAGCGGCGTGGCCGTCCCTGCGCCGCCTCCAGAGCCACGCAGAGGGGCCTAGAACCCGTCACAAATAGCAGATGATGTGTATTCCCCTACCTTGCCTTCCTTCACACCACCCCCTCAACCCCCGGCTTATTACATTATTAAGGGGGATGATCATTACCTCAATGGCCGAACAGGGAGCCAAGCGGAAAGGCGGTCGTCGCGACGAGTGACATTATCAAATATATATCGCGTGTCTTGGACCAAGACTCTGTCCCGTCCCCTCGGTTCTTCCCCCGCCGGCCGCCCCAAGGCTCTGCCCGCAGCGGCCAAGCCGTGGCTCCGCGTCGCAGCGCTTATTGCTAAGAAACTCCCAGCAGCTGCAGACACGCTAAAGCGCATAAAGACGGGAAACATCCGGCAAACTTCACAACGCCCGCCGTTTTCCCACTCGGCGGAGTAAAGTAAAATGGGATTAATCCTGTAGTAAATACCTGGAGCTTCTTGGTGTCCAGGGAAATGCTGAGTTTTGCCCTGAAGTGTGTTTGTGGCTGTCAGTCTTTTTTCCCCCTCTTTCCTTCTACCTCGCCGCTACGGGTTACAGGACACTTTTCGCACCAGATAGATTTCCGGAGCCAGGGACCGAGCGGCTCTCGCCTCCTCCCAGCTGCCGGCGCTGCTGCGTGGGTGCTGGGCCGTCGCACGGCCGTGCCCCCGCATTGCAGCCCCTTGGCAGCTGCCGTCCCCTCATGAGCCAGCTGCAAAGAGCCTTTTTTTGCGGGGCTTGGTGAGGGGTACCCGGCGGTGTGAACCCCTCCCGGCCGCGCCTTCCCTACTCGGCCTCTGTCTTGATCCATCCCGTTCAGCACCTGTGGGTTTCGGTCCCCCAGCCCTATTTGCAGTCCCTTCTCTGCCCCCGGACTACAGAGGGCGATATGAGGGTGTGGGGGTTGCGGTGTAGGCTGAGGGAACGGCGGGCAGCCGAGGAGCAGATTTTGGCATCCCCTCGGAAGGACCGCGGGAGAGGGCTCGGCGCTGCACGCCGGATGGCACAGGGCGGGCCAGCGCACCTTGGTGTGCTGCGTGACCGGCTCCGTTTTCTTTCCTCCCCTGCAGAAACTCGCCTTTTACTCCAAAATGCAGGAAGCCCCGGAGAGCGGCAGCAGCGCCAGCGCCGGCAGCTCCTTCTCCAGCCACCCCGCGGCCAGCATCAAGGAGGAGGACTGCAGCCCCGAGAAGGAGCGACCTCCCGAGGCCGAGTACATCAGCTCCCGCTGCGTCCTCTTCACCTACTTCCAGGGGGACATCAGCGCCGTGGTGGATGAGCACTTCAGCCGTGCACTCAGCCAGCCCAGCAGCTTCTCCATCGGCAGCGCGAAGGCGGCGCGGAACGCGGGCTCCTGGCGGGGTGAGCGCCCAGCGCGGCGCGGGGGATGTGGGGGATGCGGAGGATGCGGGGGATGCGGGGGCGGAGGAGGCTCCCTCTGGGCCGGCACCTCGTCCTCTCCTTGGCTGCGCATCCCGGCTCTCTCCTCCCTCCCACCAGCGGCTGGTGCCCGGAGGGCATCCCCTGAGATCCCAGGCTAGGATACTTGGCCCTTTTAGAGTAAAAAAAGAAAGAATAAAGCCCTTCAGATTATGTAGGGGGGGGCATGGTCCAGGGGGAAAGCAGCCTGAGAGGCAGTCGGGGGAAACAAATTGTCTCTTCACTGCAGGTGCTTTACCTGGAGGCAGATACCACCCAACTAGCCACAGAGTGACTCCCAAACTGTGACTGTGTTCCCCATTGACCCCAGCTTTCAGTTTAGAGTGGTCATAGTGATGGGAGCAAATTAAAAAGCAAATGTGGGAACCATCTCATCAGCTTCCCACCTCTAAACAAATATGTGTGTCCCTGTATCTTTCCCTGCATGTACCATCACCCTGATTGCTGATGGAGTGCTAACAAGGACTCTGAAGTTTCTGAACACAAGGGCTTCCAGACCTGCTCATAGCCATGTGCTGTCAAGGCCAAGGCGGTGGCTTATGCGCAGCTCTCCGTATCCATGCCTGATTCACACTGGACAGGCCCACAGGGCAGAGGGAGTAAACTTCCCCACACTCCATCTGCCAGAGAGTTAGGGCTGGCACTTCCTTGTGGACAGTCTTAGTAACCCTCCCTCACAGGGCCACCTGCTTGGCCAGGGCTGGCTTCCCAGACCCTGCACGGATTGCTGTCTGTAGTGTCTAAGAATGTTTCATGGGTGAGATATATTCAGTGCTGGAATTGATGGCAGTAGATGAGGTTTTTTTGCTCATCATGAACTGCTACCCCATCTCCCAAGAAATGCCAAGGTTCAGAGCTGACATATTTCCCTGGCAAGGAAGTATTAGGAACACAGTTTTATTTCTTTCAGGAACAGTATGCATTCCCAATTAATCATGCATAACACCTATTTGTGCTATTAATAATCACCAGTCCATTTTGCATGTTGCTAACTAGGCTAAGAAAATGTAGGGTGCTTGTCCTTTGCCCTGCCAATCTCCAAAGTTCTGCTGAGGGCTTCCCAAACATGTTGACAATATACTTAAGAAACAGACCTCTGTAATAGATGGAGAATTTTCCTCAGATATTTGAGTAACTCAAACATGCCTTTAGTCACATCTCACACTGTTCCTGCCCACTTTGTAACTGCACTGAGACAGCAGCCACTTTTTAGGAATCATTGGGCATAAATGCTTAGACAAGGAGATTATTGAAAAAACAAACAAGAAAAACCCAATCCTGAAAATGTAAATGGCATATAGTAGCTCTCACTCAGGTTCCACTACTGAAGAAAAGAGATGTTTCTCTCACCTTAGGTAACAGCCTTTTGCCCATCTACACCGTAGGAGAAAGATGGAGGATACAGTTGCAGTTTCATGGATAAACCATAGGCTAGGTGTGGTGGATTTTTAGTTGGGGAGGAATCTGTACTTGTTTGGAGAAAGTTCTTATATTTTCCAGCTTTTCGTGGAATAAAGGGAATGAAAGGACTGGTTTGGGTGGATCAGGGAGGGACAGAGCCCTAGGGAAAGGAGATCAAGTCTTGTGGGGTGTGCTCATTGCTGACTTTCTTTCCCACTTCCTTCACCCAGATGGTTCCTTCCCAATGAGCCAGCGCATCTTCCCACCATCCTTCTGGAACAGCACGTACCAGCCCTCCTCGGTCCCAGCCAGCCTGAGCAGCCCCCTTGGAGCTGCAGCCCACAGCGAGCTGCCCTTCGCCGCTGCCACCGACCCCTACGCACCCACTTCTCTGCACGGCCACCTGCACCAGGGCGGCCCCGAGCCCTGGCACCACGCCCACCACCACCACCACCACCACCACCACCACCCCTACATTGGGACACAGAGCACTGCCTACCCCCGCCCCAGCGCCATGCACGAAGTCTATGGGCCCCACTTTGACCCCCGCTACGGCTCACTCCTGGTGCCCACCGCCTCCGTCCGCCCCCACCGCCTCACCCCCGCATCCGTATCCACACCAGTCAGCCCCCCCTGTGAACTGGGCAAGAGCGAAGCGGGTGCTGCTGCGGCCTGGACGACGCCGGGCCCCTTCCCCAATGCAACAGGAGACATGGCACAGAGCATTGGCCTCAATGTGGACACAGGTAATGAGCTGCTCTCGGTCCCTCCAGGTCCCCTGGCTCAGCTGCACCCCTACTCCCTGATTCCACACCGTCCACAGCAGTAGGGAAGGACTCATGGGAGGTGGCTGAGGCTCTGCTGTGCAGGAATGAAGTGAGGGTGGAAGCCCCATGTGTGCTGAGCTCTGTCCTGGGTGCTCTTCTTGGGGCTCTCAGGCCAGGCAAGAGAGGAAGGGAGAGGAAGGATGGAACAGGCCAGCACATCACATCTCCACAACATTATTTGAATTTCTGATGCCCTCAGACATGCCCTGAGGCTACAGGTTGCTTTGATGTACTTTTGTCCTGGTCCTGGTCTTGCTCCTGCATGGAGCAGTGAGAGCTGGGAGTAGAATGGAGCAGCCCCAAAGGTCACTGCTTGGCCCCATCCATGTGTTGCCCTGAGAGGTCATTTCTAGACACCATGCAGGTTCATGAACTAGCTCCTCTCGTTATTTACCTTTTCCTTCCAGGTTTTGAGATGAAAGCACAATTGCATTTGTTGAGCAAAAAAGGCAGGTTTCTTCCCCGATGGTGCCTGTTGGGGTGTCTGGAACCAAGGGTTTGGCTGCAGTGATGGCAAAAACGGGTACACAGGCACAGTCAGCAGTGACAGTTCCTAAGACAGTGGTTGTGAAGGGAAGGAAAATCTGCTCCATGCTGGTTTCATTATTGCAGCCACTAATGGCCCCTTATAGTGTCCTCACTTTAAGCAGGAGGGGCGTGTGCCTTTCTCCAGTCTGGCTTGGGCTCTTCTTTTTTCACAGCCTTCTGGGGCTCTGGAGATCCCATGCTTTAAAATTACCTCAGCTGGCAAGAAATGCAATTTGTTTTCCTCTGTTCTTAAATGCCTATACCTATTTTTCTTCTTCCTTTTTTTTTTTTTTCTTCTCTCCGTTCTCAGGTTTGCAACCTCAGGATAAAAGCAAGGACCTGTACTGGTTTTAGAGCTGTCCTTCAATCCTCTTCCCCTGGCTGTCCCCTGTAGCTCTCTACCCGTTAGACATGGTGGCATTCAGAGCTGAAATCGGGTCAGTTTGTAACAGCTTCTGATCTTGGTTTGCAGCTCGCCGTTACTCCTTCTGTGGTGGATCCCTCCTGAGCTGATGTGCTGACTCAAAGACTCTCAGATCCCCCCTTGCCCTTTTCCAAGCCCACCATGGCCCTGCTGCTCGGGGAAAGACAACAGGATTTAAAAGGAGCTGGCTTTGCAAGGGTGATACTTTAGACCTTTTCCGGAAAGGAAAGCTGCTCTGTTGCAAGAGGAGAGCCAAAGACTTTGAACTCCTGTTTAAGCAGACCCCACGCCCAGACCTGCAGCCAGACTACTCTGAAAGAGACAAACGACATCATGGATGGTGATGCAAAACCACTGGCCTTCATAGAGGCAACAGAGGAAATTGTGGGGGGATTTTAGTGGTGTGAATATTTTTATATGGCAGTGAAAGTAATTTCTTGAATGCAAACATGGGAAAGCTAATCAGCATTTTTGAACTGGATTTTTATTTTGCATTATAGAAAAGTAAAAGGAGAAGAAACTGGAACTCATGAACATTTTCAGACTATCAAGAAACTGGTCAAATTTTTTGACTTTGTGGTTGTGAGTGGCAAGTGTCTGAGTGGGGCCACCTGCCCTGGACTTACAGATATGCAGCTGTTCCCCTCACAACTGCTTAAATCCCAGAAAGACGAAAACCAAGGTGGCACTTCTCAGAGTTTGGCACATTTGCATTGGCTGTGTAACAGTTGTTTGGTTGGGGGTGGGATTGTTTGTTTGGTTTTGTTTGGTTTTTTGGGGTTTTTTTCCTTTTTTTATTTTTTTTTCTTTTTACAATAAACATTTTCTGGTGAACGTTAAACCCTCTTAAAGCAGGGGGAGAAAGGAATCCGATGAAGAATGGCTCACCTCCAACCCAACTGCCTTTAAAGGGAACACCAGAGCAAAAAGCACATGATGGACATTAGTTCTGAATTGCCTCTAACACTTCCCTTTGTCTACTTGTTGCTGTCATTTTGCCACTTTAGTAATTGTTTTGTTTGGGGTATTTTGAAAGAGGCAGCTAGATATTTAACAGTAGCCAAGCTGTATTAAAAGTATCTCCTTCTCTCACCCTGTGTACTTTAATGAAGAATTAAAGCTAAGTAAGAGAAATGAAGCAAACTGGAAACTTCAGGATGAAGCAGAAAACATATCTCTCACATGGATGAAGTGAGTTATTTTATAATTTTGCATGAAAGATATATAGAAATTCCTAACAGCTGAAAATATTTTCTTGGTGAGTAAAACACACAGAGATAAATATAAAAGATAGGAAAATATAAGACCATAACTGTGTTACATTTTAGAGTATGGTGTGTCTGTAAGATTACTTAAAGTAAGGGAGCTGCTCCATATTTTTTCTGCTAGAAGAGGGAACTGTAGCATATAGAATTGCTATTGCAGTGGTAAATTAAAATGTTACTACCTGGTGATGAATAATTAATGAAACAAGGCAGAAATGGCACTTACCCTATACTTGAAAGCTGACTTTTTATAGACAAAACATCTGATCCAAATACTACTGTGTTTTGGTTTTCTTCCTGTTTTGTTCTGTTTTATTTCATTCTTTTTCTTAATGTAATGTCTTTAAAGTTGACAAATTTTAAAGCATATAGCAGGAAATTCCTAACATTATCCCCTGACACTGGGAGAAGCAGCAGAAAATGAATTTTTGTGCTGTGATGAGAGTTTTTACCTTTCAAACTCTTATATTGTTCATTGTGTGTCAGAAGTGGATTTATGAATAACCCAAAGTTGCTTCTCCTAGGTTTGGCGATAACTCAGTTTCTGGGAAAGAATAGGAATCCTAACAGAAAGAATTTGACAAAGCAGTGCAAGTACATACTGCGAGAAGCTGATCAGGAGCACCTGTGGCCAGAGCTTAGCAAATGGCAGGGGGAACTTGCCATGATTCCTTCAGCCAGACAAACCAATGGGCATTTTTCTCTCAGCCTCCAAATAGCCAGAGCCCAGACAACTGCAAAGGGCAAGAGAATGACCCCAGAATTTACATGATTTGTTAAACCAAAAACATTCCCAGGTGTTTATTAAGGAAGAAGTCACCAGCCTTTTGCAGAGGAAAAGTAACTGAAAATGGTATTTAACTGCAGGAGCTTAAAGTTAGCAGGGTCACTTAATGAGCATTTTCCTGAGGGCTTTTTCAGGCTGTTTATAAGGTTTTGGTTTGTTTTTTTTTAAAAAATATAAATCTGAGTCTATGATTGATTGTCCTTCACCACAATTATTTCTTTTTTCTTCCTCTTTTCCTCCTCTCTTCTCTGCAATTCTTAAGGAGGAGGGCTGAGTGATGCAGCCCAAATACATTCAGAAATATTCATGTAAACATAAATGAGTCATTTACTACATTGGCATTTGCAATTCATTTTAACTGTGAATGTAGTCAAGCATGAGAATTTATGCAATGAATCCGTGAATATTGGTTTTGGCATTTGTTCTGTGGGTACGTTTCATATTGTTATATTATGAAAGCATCTAAACATAAAAGCCAAGACGGTGGCTCAAGGTGCTAAAAGTACAAACAACTTTTTAAAAATGCTCCTGCTCTGGGTGGACTACAGCTTGAAAGCACACACTCCCTGTTTTGGCTAATCCCTGCAGTTTTGCTCACTGGGTTACTCTGACTCCTGAAGGACCACTCACAGCACCAACCTTTAAGGCTTGGGCATTAGTCTTTGTAGGGCTGGGGCCACAGCTCCTAGTGCAGTAACAGCGCACATGATCTCCCTGCCGTTTCTCAAGTCTGTTTTATTCCTCTTTGTATCATAGGTTATTACTCCCTTAGTCATGAATGCTTGCAGAAAATCTGGAATTACAAAAGAAACCCTTCTTAGATGTTACATAAATATTACCTGTCACATGCTTGTCATGTGCTGAAAGGGATGTGAGTCCCCATCTCTGCAGCGTGAAGAGCAAATCCTCCTGCTGTCCCTTTCTGAATGTCATGCACCACACCGTGCTCTCTAGCTGCCCACTTGATAAACAGACTAGCCCAGCTGGGACAGACAAACAGACACAAACAGCTTCAAACCCATTTGTACAGCTTCCAGAGAAGGAGGTAGAGAGACAACATCTGCTGCAGAGCATGACAGTGCTGGACATAGCAAAGGTATCTGCTGCTGCCCAATAGCAAGAGTGTCCTCTCCACAAGGAGTTTCCAAAATGAGTTCTGGATGTATTCACCACAGATATTTATTTCTCTTTCTGAAAATAGCTGAAAATTAGCAAAGCCTGAAGTAGTACTGCTTTAATGATCTCTGAGGTTAAAAGTGATCTGTCAAGGGAATGATGGAGGTGGGGATAGGGCATGGTATCTGTGGGTGCAGTCTCCATTTTATTTTAATGAGTTTTTTTTGCTTCAGTATGGCTTCATTTGCAAGAATGAAGCATAAAACTCTTAAATGCTTGTATGTGCCCCTACAAATACAGTCTAATGTTGTTGAGCTTTAGGGCAGTGTTGATTTCTTATTATCTCCTTTTCCAGTGTGTTTTCCATAGGAGCCCCTAGCAGGAGGAGGAGGAGGGAGGAAGGGAGGGGAGAGAGGGTGAAAGAGAGCTTGAATAATCCCTTTTGCGGCCCCTAGATCGTGTGCTGCCGCCTCTGGGGAAATGTATCTGCCCTGTCTCCTCCTTGGGTCAGGAGCTGTCGACCCTTCTCGCCTTCCCTTTGAAGTCATATTTAGGTTCACAAGACAAGCTCTAGCTAGGGCTTAAATGTTGGGCCCTTCTTGGAAGGGAGGAAAATGCTGCTGGTGGCTTCGGATGGAGCAGCGCTCTCTAACTGACAGTTGCTGTGCATCTTTTTCTGGGCAAGTGTTGTAATTAACGTGCCCTTTTGATTACAGAAGGATGAGCCAGCTCCTGTGGAGGATTGTAGTGTCCTGGCGGTCTTCCCGGGCCTGCCACCCAGAGGAGCAGTTGCAGCAGGGAAAGGAGAGAGTCCTATGGTTATTTTCAGGAGTGAGACATTGATTTTGTATGCTAGGCAATTTTGCATAGGGAAATGCAAGTAGGAGATCATAAAAAAAGAAAAAGAAAAAAAAGGGGAAAAGAAGAAAAAAGAAAAAGAAACGAAAAAGAAAAAGAAAAAGAAAAAGAAAAAGAAAAAGAAAAAGAAAAAGAAAAAGAAAAAGAAAAAGAAAAAGAAAAAGAAAAAGAAAAAGAAAAAGAAAAAGAAAAAAAAAGAAAAAGAGCAGAGAAGCCCTGGGGAGCTATGTCCCTATCCTCCTGCCCGTGCTCTCTCTGTATCAGGTCCCACAAGAGATAGTGTAGGTGCTGGAGGAGCCCGTGCAGGAGTGTAGGAATGCAGGGATGCAGAGAGCACAAATGCAGATGGGCAGGAGTGCAGGTGTGCGGGGTGCAAGACTGTAGGAGTGTAAGAGTGCAGGGCTCAGGGACACAGGGTGCAGGAGTGTAGGAGTGCAGGTGTGCAGGGGTTCAGAAGTGCAGGTGTGCAGGGGTGCGGGGGTACTGGGCTGCAGGGGTACAGGTGTGCACTCTCCTGGGCCCCAGTCTCACGCATGGGCACTTCCTTTTGCCATGCTCAGCTGCAGCCCACAAAAGCACTGGCCAAGGATGGAAGCATTTCTTCAGGTATGTGCCAGTTGCTTATTCATTCATGGTAAAGGCAGGAAAAACACCTGGCAGGAGTGCTGTCCCACTAGGAGATGTAATACCACATTGAACATTACTGAGGGTACTCCATCTCCCTGTAAGCATGGCACATTTCCTTCTGCCCTACCTGGCCCAGATACAGCTGCAAGATGCCCCTCCTCCCTCATCATACCCACCCAAACTTCTCCACCCCTCTCCTTGACTTCTGTCTGCAGTCCAGACCCTGCATTTCATCTCCCCTCTGTTCTGCCTCACCCAGGCTCTTCCCTCCTGCACTTAGTACTCTGGCCTCACACCACAGCAGCAAGGAGCAAAGAAACAGTGTTAGGAGGGACACAAACTTTCCTGCCAAGGCTGTTTGTATGGAGTCAGTATCTACTTGATAAACAGGGTTGGACAAACATGGGCCTTTTTCAGGAAGAGCCAGTGCATTCGTCTCAATCCTGCACCAAACCTCTGTGACAGGACCCAAGCCCTGGTTCTGATCCAGTGGAGCAACTCCTTTTCCCAGAAGCTGAGTCCCCAAGAACTGTGACAGCCCCAGTTGTGCACAGACACAAATGATTATTCTCTCTTGACAGACCTACACAGCTCC